GTTCTGCCTGCCCCAGCCCAGGGTCCCATAGGTGCTGCCAGGCCCCAAATCTGCCATGGACCCCCGTACCGCCTGGTCACGCTGCTGCTGGGCCCACAGTGTGACCTGGGTCCCTGTACCGCCCTCCCATTGCTCCCACTCTGCCATGTGCCACTTTCAGGTCTCCTCACACTCCTGCTGGTTTCCATTTTGTCATAGGTTGCTGTATGGCCTCCCATTGCTGCTGCCTCCACCGCCACACTGTGGCTCCAAACACTGGTTTTGGCCCCGTGACTGGCCAAATGAGTGAAGTGTGCGGTGATTCTAAGATCGACGGCACTCATCTGCATGTCATACTGAGTGACAGTATTATTTCTCTTCCCCAGCAGACTCCAAGGGCATTTAAATTAAAGGTACAGTGTTCTGCACTAATATTAAATCTCTCTGAAGCCTAGAAACACCCTTTTTTAAGTTAAATTCACAGCGAATTTATTCGACTCGAATCGAGAATATTGTCCACGAATTCGCCGAATCAGTCGAATCGAATTTTTCATTTCTTCGCTCATCTCTAGTGGTAGCCCCTCAGCAATAGGTGGGGAATTCACAAGGGGCTCTGTAAATGTGGGCCACTTTTCAAACTCCTGACGTGTGAAGACAGAGAGGATAGTTTAGTGTATTTGCTTATTGGAGTCATACAATCTACTTCAGATCTACTCCCAGCATCAGAGGCTGTTCCACATCTCACACATTTCCAGGACAACCTTACATTTCCAGTTAGTGTGGATACTGTAAAAATGACCATAATTTTCTTATAGACCACAGTGCATGTTCCCCCCTTTTCCATTCATCACAGTACATTTCCTCATCTAACACTCTTATTTTATTCTTTTATGAAGGGATGGAGAACGCGAGTTTCGAATTACATACAGAAGACAAAATCAGAGCTGTACCATGTGTTAACACAATACACAGATAAGAAGACAATGCCCAGAATGGAATTAGATCAGATTAACCTGTTCACGAAACGGATGTTTTATCATTTCCCTTCTTTCATATTCCGTGCTACCCTTGGCTCACATCTATGTGTTTTTTAGTGTATTTTGGAGAGAAACACACTACAGTCCATTAACAAGGTGGATGCAACTGGGAACAAGTGCATTACTTGCTCAAAGAAATAAGGCATGCAGGTCTTTTTTAAAAATACATTTTAATGCTTTTTTTTAAAATAATATTTATTGTTTTTTTAAAATGATTTTTATTGGCACAGGCCGTTTTTATAACAGTTTCACTTGTGGTACAATAGGATTGGTTGCTAAGATCTATGCCATTGTAACTAACCATAAATCTGACATCTGTCATACATTCAGACAAACCTATTCATTCCCACAATTCCTATATGTTTATTAACAATTATTTATTACCAGTTTTTGGCTAAAGTTTTACTCAGTTAAAATCATTATCTACAGACTGTATGACGCCCAAAGTGTTCAACATTAAATCACACTCTCTTCCTGTTTTGATATAGAATTCGCCATCCCAAGGACAGCAACATATTTACGACTTTGTATGTTTAACCAAACAATTCTATATATGCATATATACTGTATATATATACACAGAGTTAACTGTTTTATTTTATATTGTGTGTATATATACACACACACACTATATATATATATATATATATATATATATATATATATATATAATATATATATATATAACACACATCTCACAGAAGTGAGTACACCCCTCACATTTCTGAAAATATTTTCATATATCTTTTCATGTGACAACACAAAAGAAATGACACTTTGCTACAATGTAAAATATTGAGTGTACAGCTTGTGTAACAGAGTAAATTTGCTATCCCTTCAAAATAACTCAACACACAGCCGTTAATGTCTAAATCGAGGTTGAAGGGTGGGGGGGTCAGCCTGTCAGTGCTCAGACCATACGCCGCACACTACATCAAATTGGTCTGCATGGCTGTTGTCCCAGAAGGAAGTCTCTTCTAAAGATGATGCACAAGAAAGTCCGCAAACAGTTTGCTGAAGACAAGCAGACTAAGGGCATGGATTACTGGAACCATGTCCTGTGGTCTGAGGAGACCAAGATAAACTGATTTGGTTCAGATGGTGTCAAAGCGTGGTGTGGCGCCAACCAGTTGAGGAGTATAAAGACAAGTGTGTCTTGCCTACAGTCAAGCATGGTGGTGGGAGTGTCATGGTCTGGGGCTGCATGAGTGCTGGGAAGCTACAGTTCATTGAGGGAACCATGAATGCCAACATGTACTGTGACATAGTGAAACAGAGCATGATCCCTTCCCTTCAGATACTGGGCCGCAGAGCAGTATTCCAACATGATAACGACCCCAAACACACCTCGCTAAAGAAGCAGAGGGTAAAGGTGATGGACTGGCCAAGCATGTCTCCAGACCAGGGGCAGACTGACAACTCATGGGGCCCCCGGGCAATAGGGGATCATGGGGCCCCTGTGGCCTTTGCCCAAACTCAAAAAAGCCTATGAAAAAGTACCAGGGGCATCTCATGGGGCCCCCTAATGACCCCAGGCCCCCGGGCAGTGCCCGAGTTTCCAAATGGTCAGTGTGCCCCTGCTCCAGACCTAAACGCTATTGAGCATCTGTGGGGCATCCTCAAATGGAAGATGGAGGAGCGCAAGTTCTCTAACATCCACCAGCTCTGTGATGTTGTCATAGAGCAGTGGAAGAGGACTCCAGTGGCAACCTGTGAAGCTCTGGTGAACTCCATGCCCAAGAGGGTTAAGGCAGTGCTGGAAAATATGGGTGGCCACACATAATATTGACACTTTGGGCCCAGTTTGGACATTTTCACTTAGGGGTGTACTCACTTTTGTTGCCAGCGGTTTAGACATTAATGGCTGTGTGTTGAATTATTTTGAGGGGACAGCAAATTTACACTGTTATACAAGCTGTACACTCACTACGTCACATTGTAGCAAAGTGTCACTTCTTCAGTGATGTCACAGATAAAATAAAATATTTACAAAAATGTGAGGGGTGCACTCACTTCTGTGAGATACTGTGTATGTGTATATATATATAATAATATATATACATACACACTGTATAGTGTTTTTGCATATTTCAATGTATTAGTTAAGACACAGGCAGACCTTTATCCATAAACCTGTCAGCCTAATTAATGTACATAGTTTTCCTGTGTTACACACTATCTAATTAGGGCACACAGTACTAGGTTCTATTTCATTTCTTATCAAGGTTGTTTTTCTTGGTAGTGGTCAAGAGTTCAACTTTAAAAGTAGATTTTTTTTAATATTATGAACTAGTATAGTATACATTTCTAGAGACTAATATCTATTGCCTAATATTGAATTAACAATAATGATGATACTACTACTAATATAATGGTAATAATAATATGAATAATAATTATATGATCAAAAACACATATGCAAATGAATGTGAATATTATGAAATCCTACTTCAAGGCCCCTGTTCCCATCAAAATATGGAAATTGTGCTTTGGGGGGGGCCACACTTTTGTTTCCTCAGATTTCTTTTGTTTACACTAAAAATTAAACGCATCAAAAATGAACTGTAAAAATGCATCAACCTCTACCTGTATAGATGAGAACCTAGCCTTAAGGTATATTTCAGCAAGGAGTTGACATAGCCATTTATGTGTACTGAACTTTATGATCAATCCTCTGATTCCTCCATTTTATATTGTATTGTGTTTCCTCAACGTATTCATTACTACAAAATAAAAATGTGATTTTTTTTTTTTAACTTCACACCAAAATTGCCACCACTCATGAGACCAGCACGCTGGGAAATTCCTGTTCATCTTATGAAGATTCATCCTACACAAGTAGAAGACATCAAACGCATAGTGACAGAACAATGAGGACATTGGACATCTTCATCCTTTATTCCAATTCTCATCCATGGAATTTCTTGGATCTTTTGTGAAAAAAAGTACCAAATGTATCTGGTTTTGCAGAAGCACCTTTAGATGGAATGTGTTCACAAACATGTAGACCATAAAGGAAGAAAGATCTCTGAGACCTCATTCACACCAATGTGCAGAGACGTCAGTATTTTTGCACACGATCATGCAAGGGCAGAACAAAATCAGTTGTTCTCTATATGCCCTGTTCACACCACAACACTAGTATCATCTGCAGATTTTTTTTCTGTGCAGGAAATGGCAACATCTATAAAACTCTTATGAAAACTAATGTAAACTGATATCTCTGCAAGTGAAACCTGCACATCAGTTTCCATCAGTTTTCAGGTATGTATGGTGTGAACAAGCCCTGAGTGTTCTCACGATGAAAAAAAAAGCTATTTGTCAACACCAATGATGGGTTTTGTGACAATTTGTCATTTCCTCAGACACGAGGTGTAACATAGATTCTACAACAGGTAAAATACCAAATAGAAAAACATTTAAGAAAAAATAACAAATTATAAATAGGTGCAGGATAAATTGAAAAAAAGATTCTTTGGCTATTAATGGACCTAAAAGTGCGGATATAAAGTACATGAAATTGATCTGTATATATAGACGTGATTTTTCACTTGATGTATACTAGGGTGCATGGGTGTACACAGCCTATGGCATTAGGGTATGCACCCCAAAGCTCAAACACACATGTATGTATACAGTGAAGGAAATAAGTATTTTCTCCCCTGCTGATTTTGAATGTTTGCCCACTCACAAAGAAATGATCAGTTTAAAAATAGAATGGTAGGTGAATTGTAACACTGAGAGACAGAATAGCAATACAAAAATTCAAAAGAAATGTATGTTCATGAGGGAAATAAGTATTTGATCCCCTATCATTCAGCAGGATTTCTGGCTACCAGATGTCTTTCATACAGGTAACAAGCTGAGATTAGAAGCAGTCTCTTAAAGGGAGTGCTTCTAATCACATTTTGTTACCTGTATAAAAGATACCTGTCCAAAGGAGCAATCAAACAATCAGATTCCAAACTCTCCACCATGGCAAATACCAAACAGCTGTCCAAGGATGTCAGGGGCAAGATTGTAGACCTACACAAGGCTGAACTGGGCTACAAAAACTATCACCAAGCAGCTTGGTGAGAAGGTGACAACAGTTGGCGCAATCATTTGCAAATGGAAGAAACACAAAACAACTGTCAGTCTCCCTAGGTCTGGTGCAACATGCAAGATCTCACCTCGTGGAGTGTCAATGATCATGAGAACAGTGAGGAATCATCCCAGAACTAAACGTGAGGATCTTGTCAATGTTCTCCAAGCAGCTGAGACCACAGTCACCAAGAAAACAATTGGTAAACACACTACGCCGACAAGGATTGAAATCCTGCAGTGCCCGCAAGGTCCCTCTGCTCAAGAAAGCACATGTCCAGGCCCGTCTGAAGTTTGCCACTGAACATCTGAATGATGCAGAGGACGACAGGTTGAAAGTGTTGTGTGGTCAGGTGAGACCAAAATCGAGCTCTTTGGCATCAACTCAACTCGCAGTGTTTGGAGGGGGAGGAATGCTGCCTATGACCCCGAAGAACACCAACCAACCGTCAAACATGGTGGTGGAAACATTCTGCTTTGGGGGTGTTTTTGCTGCTAAAGGGACAGGACATCTGCACTGCATCAAAGGGAAGATGGGACAGGGCAATGTACTGTCAAATCTTGGGTGAGAACCTTCTTCCCTCAGCCAGAGCATTGAAAATGGATCGTGGATAAGTGTTCCAGCATGACAATGACCTAAAACACACAGCCAAGGCAACAAAGGAGTGGCTCAAGAAGAAGCACATTAAGGTCCTGGAGTGGCCTAGCCAGTCTCCAGACCTTAATCCAATTGAAAATCTGTGGAGGGAGCTGAAAGTTCGAGTTGCCAAACGTCAGCCACCAAACCTTAATGACTTGGAGATGATCTGCCAAGAAGAGTGGGCCAAAATTCCTCCTGAGATGTGTGCAAAGCTGGTGGCCAACTACAGGAAACATCTGACCTCTGTGATTGCCAACAAGGGATTTGCCACCAAGTACTAAGTCATGTTTTGTGAAGGGGATCAAATACTTATTTCCCTCACGAACATGCAAATCAGTGCATCATTTGTTAGACATGCATTTCTTTTGAATTTTTTGTTGCTATTCTGTCTCTTAGTGTTACAATACACCTACCATTCAATTTTTAGACTGATCATTTCTGTGTGAGTGGGCAAACATCCAAAATCAGCAGGGGTTCAAATACTTATTTCCTTCACTATATATATATTGTATTAAAACATAAGTTGTGTCAGTAGAGCACTGGACAGTGTCAGTAGATTTGTTATTCTCTTTTAAAAAAAAAAAAAAATTTCAGAAGCCCCATTGGGATTTTTGGTGAAATATCAGGGGTTTAAACAGACCCCTGATGCCTCACTTTTGAAACAGAATAAGGGAATGAGAATAGAGATTCCCCAGTCCCTTTCTCTGCAGCCTCAGCTGCACTGGATATTAAATGAATGGGAAGTGCTCTGTGGCTTCCTGTTCATTCATAAACTGAAGCATTGGAAAAACACTACTTCAGCTATGAATGAACACAATGAGTGATCGGTACTGAGTGGGGGCCCGGGCAGCAGGGGGAATTTGCTCGACAATGAGTGAATAGCCTATGTTAGGATGTAGCACTCTAAACATTTGAATAGTGATGGGCCCGAACACCCCCCCCCTGTTCGGTTTGCAGTCGAATTTGAATAGGGCATTTCATGCCGAACAAATCCAGGTCATACATGACTATGTTAGCATGTAGGAACGGGGAGGAAGCAGTCTATTCCCTCCTGGGTGACAAGGGTGTGCTGTTTTTGGTATCCCTGGGTTTGAAATATATTTCTGAATATTAATTTGCCAGTTTCTAGAATACCACCTGCACATACTGGAGGTTATTAATATTAGTATGAAATTGTAGTTGGGACTTGGTCATAAACTTGGTGACCTCCCAGCACCCATCCCCTAAACCGGATAATTGGTCAGTTGTTCTCAGGCAACACCCTTTTAATATCATAGGAAAGGACTGACAGGCCTGGTGAAGGGGAGGTCTCATTTAACATCAATCAAGAAACATCTTAATGGACGTGAGAGCCAAGGTAACATTTTTAGTCGGACAATTGGACTCTGGTAAACCAGGACTTTGCAAGTATTCTGCCTTCATTTCTTTGTTGCATTATTGTTCTCTTTATGTTTTGTAACATTTTTCTGTAAATATTTTAATTGCACCATTTTGACCTTTTTAGTAATAAACCCTATTTTGAAAAAAAGTGTTGAAACTGTCTCTAAAGCTTTTAATGCAAACTAAAGAATCCCTGCCTCTTGAAGAGTGCTACTGTATGTAATAATCCTCTGAATATCCCTGTCTGTGGTGACAGTGTGTATTTCAGATGCTTATACTAAAATCACAGTGTTATTTCTAAGATTTGTGAGTTTCCTCCTTCTCTGTAAAAAGGCGGTGGTGGCAGTGTGAAGGGTTAATTGCGTAATTAGTATCAATCGCTCTCAGCTGCAGGCACATAGATTGTGGTCCCGCGAGCTGGAAAATCTTTGTGCAGGGTGCAGCTGAGAGTCGCATTGTTATGCAAGTGACAGCGCAGTGTGAGATTGGCTGGTCCTTTGTCATGAGTTGGTGAGAAGGGCAGGGGTCGGGCGCTGCGTTCCGTCACAGTGTGGGGTCCCCTCTCCCATCTATTCCAAGCCCCTTGGGTCTGGTGTGGACCCATTTTTTAAAAATTTCCCCCCAAAATCCATACCAGTCCCTTATCCAAGCATGCAGTCAGGCAGGTCAGGAAAGGGGGAGGGAAGATCGAGTGCCGCCCCTCCTGAACCATACCAGGCCACATGTCCTCAACATGGGGGGGTGCTTTAGGGCAGGGGTGCTCCCCCCAAAGCACCTTGTCCCCATGTTGCTTGTGTGGGTCTGCGGACGGGGGGCTTATCAGAGTTTGAAATCCCCCTTTAACCCCTTGGCGCCGGCACCTCCTGGCCCTTTAAGGGTTTCAGAAGCCGGGAGGCAGGGCAGGATTTTAGGGTCATGTGACCTCCGTGATTTGTCATCACGGCGGTCACATGATCGGGAAAGGTCCCAATCGAAAGAGGAGATCGGGACCTTTCCGTGAGTACTGGACATGTGTGCTGGGAGTGCACAGAGCGCACTCTCAGCACATATGTTTTTCTTAATTGCACACAAATGTGCGGCCGCTCAGCGTCAGGGCACTGATGATCAGTGTGCTCTGATGATCAGTGTAGCCCCATCAGTGCCACCTGTCAGTGTCCATCAATGCCAGCTGTCAGTGCTCATCATTGCCATCTGTCAGTGCCCATTAGTGCCACATCAATGCCACATATCAGTGCCTACCAGTGCACATCAATACCACATATCAGTGCCCATCTGAGCTGCCTTTCAGTGCCACCTATTAGTGCTGCCAGTCAGTGCCGCCAGTCAGTTCTGCCTATCAGTGCGCATCAGTGCCACCTATCAGTGTGCATCAGGGCCTGTCAGTGCTGCCAATCAGTGCCACCTACCAGTGCCAGGCAGTTCCGCCTATCAGTGTGCATCAGTGCCACCTATCAGTGTGCATCAGGGCCTCTCAGTGCCGCCTATCAATGCCAGTCAGTGCCGCCTATCAGTGCCATATATGAATGCTGCCTTTCAGTGCCCATCAGTGATGCCTGTCAATGCCCATCAGTGCCACCTACCAGTGCCTCCTCATCAGTGCCCATCACTGCAGCCTCATTAGAGCACATCAGTGATGGAGAAAAATCACTTATTTACAAAATTTTATAACAGAAATTTTTTCAAAATTTTCAGTTGTTTTTGGTTTGTTTAGCAAAAAATAAAAAACCCAGAGGTGACTAAATACCATAATAATGACAAAAAAAATGACAACTTCAAAAAACTCACCATGCCTCTTATGAAATACGTTGGACTGTCTACTTTGCAAAAGGGTATCATTTAGGGGATACAATTTTGGTCTTTTTTTGTTAATTTAGCAAAAAATAAAAACCCCAGTGATGATTAAATACCACCAAAATAAAGCTCTGTCTCAAGAAAATTATAAAAATTTCATATGGGTAAAGTGCTGCATGACCGCTCAATTGTCATTCAAAGTGTGACAGCGCTGAAAGCTGAAAGTTGGCCTGGGCAGGAAGGGGGTATAAGTGCCCTGTAGGCAAGTGGTTAATTAATATGTTATGTGAACATCTGGGTCTGCCGTTACACCAGACATATTTCTTAAGCATGGATTGTAGTCTTGTTAGGTATGAGGATTTAATTAGAACTGGGATTTATTCTAAAAAGATACAGGATTTGTGGAAGTATGAGCATTTTGAATGCCGCAAGTCTACCAGACCAAGATAATTCATATTTGACCATTTGATTCAGATGGGCTTGAATTTTTGGGATAAGTTTAGAATAATTTAAATCTACTAGATCTGAGGGCTTTCTTGCTAAAGTTATTCCTAGCTATGGAATAGTTTCATCCTCCCAAATATTGGGGAAATCTTTTTGAATATATGTTTTTTGATTGTGATCTCTGCCTAGGTTTAGATTTAGATGCATCTATTTTATAGTATGAAATTTCACTAAATTGTGGGAGCATTTGCTGTGCGTTCGCTAAAGAGGTGGAGGGATTAGATAACATAAGGATAATGTCATTCACGAAAAGGGTTATTTTTATGGTTGATTTTTCCTATAAGAAGCCTGGATATCTGAGTTATTTCTAATAGATTCAGCCAGAGGTTCAATTAATAGGTTGAACATTGTTGGAGTTAGTGGACATCCTTGTCTGGTACCATTAGTGATTGGGAATTTTTTAGATAACATATTAGATACATACACTTGGGCAGAGAGAGTCAAGTGCCAAAATAGCATTAATGATCATTCTGAGAATCCAAACTTACTTAATATTTGGTACATGTATGTCCAACGTATCCTATCAAAAGCCTTTTTTGGCATCCTGGGCTAATAATAAAGAGGTCATTGTTTGTGATTCTGAATTCTATTAATCATCCTCGGCAACGGATGTCTGTCTTCCTTTTAATGAAGCCTAGCTGGTCAGGTTGGATCAGGATTGGAAGTATGTTTGTCAGTCGAGAAAGCAATGATTTTTGCATAAATCTTTATATCAGTGTTCAATAAAGAAATAGGCCGGAAATTCTGTGGAGTGTCTGGATTTTTCCCGCGTTTGGGTATTGTTACAATTAATGCTTGTAACATTTCAGAAGGTAGTCTAGCTGATACAAATGCATTAGAACATACTTGGTTTAGGTAAGGGCTTAGAATGTTTTTAAAAATGTTATAGTATTTGTCAGAGAAAAGATCTGGACCTGGAGATTAAGGCTCCATGTACACGGGACACTTCTGAATGAAGGAAACTGACTGCTGGAAAATGTTAGGGTAGCCTCCCTGGAGGTATTCCTGAGTGTAGCTTGGGGTAAAGTTTCAGCACCACAAGTGGTAACCCCGAGCTACACTCGGGCTTACCATGCGGCGCTGCTCCGGGATCCCTCGATCACTTATCTTGTCCTGCGCTCCTGCAATGTCCCCCCCTGCAGTGTCTCTGGCAATGTAATCCAGCGGATGCCAGCATCTGTCATCTGGGTTCCGTCCCCTGCGACGTCAGGACATATGGGGGATGGAACGGTGGGAAATTTGAAAATGACAAAAAGTGACAATCACTAAAATCACATAGTAAAACATTACTGTATCAAACCATTTCACATACATTTTGTCCCGAGTGCTTTGTCCTGTGCCCTGCCTACATTTTTACTGTTCTGTCTGAAAACTGAGAAACATCCATGGCATCCAAAAAGCATCCCTTTAGGTCAAAATCGGTTTTAGACCAGCTAGAGAACAGCGATAGTAAATTATAATCACTTGTAGAATTGAGTGATAATGATTTGTGGGGAAATTCATCATCAGACACTGAAAACGATTTTTACGACTTTGCTCAGCGATGTGCGAACTTGGCGCTATATTTCAAATTTCAGTGTTTTTGGTTTGATTATATTATTGAATTAAATTTATTATTATATTATTTTTTATGATTATTTATTAAATTATAATTTATGATTTCGTGTTTCAAGTTTTATTCTACCCGGGATGTTTACTAGACTCTTGTTCGACAGATTTCAGTGAGTTATTCCTAAGAATTACAGGCCTACAATATAAAACGCCAAATTTCCATGCAAAATAATGGTACCACTTTCAGCACCAAAAATCTGAAATAATCATACCGCCAGGTAGGTTAAGAAACATCCATTTAAACCGCGTTTATGTATGTTTATTAACGTTTGTGTTTAGAAGCATCGTTTTTTAAAGATAACCTCAGGGGACCTTCCAAAATGCCCAGAATGCATTGAAAAACAGTAAAAAAATTTAACTATTTCAGACATTTTCAGAGAAATAGAGAGAGCAGAAGCAGAGAGAGCAGTATTTGTTGAGGTTAGCTGTCTTTTTTTTTTTTTTTTTTTTTTTTTTGTGGTGTTCGGATGTGTTCCAGCTAATTTCTGTGCAGAAATTATTGCAGCAGTGTCTAACATATTTTCTTTCATGCAAAACCTCAAAGTATGGTCCATTTGAGTACCGGGAAAACGCTTTGCATGCATTTTTCATGATGAAAAAAGGCTCTGGACAGAATCTGGAAATGGAAGAGGTAAAAAAAAATTCCAAACGCTTATAAGCGCAGTTAGCCGCGTTTACACACGTTTACAAGCGTTTGGCATTTGAAATGCTAATAAAATCTACTCCTGAATGAAAGCTTGGTGCGTTCAAAAAAATGACTGTAAACTCAACTGCCTGTAAACGACAGTGTACATGGACACATAGAAAAACATTAACGAGAGTTCAGGGGCTGCTGAAAAAAAAAAATGCAGAAAAGCTCCTAAAACGTGAGTTTATCAGCTGCCGTGTACATGGATCCTTACTGTTGGGTAGTGATTGTATTGTTTCATGTATGTAAGGGGAATTGAGAGTATTCAATTGTGTATCTGAAAGAGTAGATAAATGAATTTGTAACAAATATTCTTGTATATTCTTTATGGAAGGTTGGGGTGTTGATGTGTCTTGATTTAGATTATAGAGTAATTCATAGTATTAAGCAAATTAATCTGCTATTTCCTGAGGATTGGTGATTTTAGTGTTATTTTTTAGGGTTGATAAGATAAGGTATTTTGGTTTTGGCTTGAAATTAATTTATTTGCTAGGCATTTCCCTGCTTTATTTCCATTTGAATAAAAGTTAAGTTTTAATCTTAGTTTTTTTTTGTGGAATTGGTTTATTAATAATGAGCGCAGGTCATTTCTAAGTTTCGATGTGTTTTGATTTGGTGCCATTTTATTTTGAGTTTCTAAATTCTGAATATTTAATAATAGCTCATTAAGTTGTTTTGTTTCTTTGTTTCTTAGCTTTAGCACACATTTTTATAATAATGCCACACATATGTGCTTTGTGAGTACACCATAGAGTATTAGGGTTTGATGCAGATTGTGAATTAATATGAAAAAAATCCTCAAGATGTTTTTTGAGCATCAGGGTATTGTTAGGAGTTTTAATAGATGAATTTATACGCCAAATATAATGTGGTTTCAGTGAATGGCTATCTGAAATAGTAATTGAGACAGGTGCGTGGTCTGTCCACAGTCCTATATTGGATGTAGATATGTTTTGTAGTAGCCATTTATCTACCAATATATAGTCAAATCTTGAATAAGACTGGTGTCTTGCAGAGAAAAAAGTGTAGTCTCTTTAGTCGGCGTGTTGACATCATATATTTCTTCATTTATCAAAAAAGAATACAGGGTTGGAATATTTCTTTTTGAGACTTTGTAGAGTCTAGATCTCTATCTACTATGAGGTTAAAGTCGCCGCACAGTATCAGAGATTCAGAACGATTCTTGGAGATTAGTTTGAAGAGTTTAGTGAGATAACTTTTTGGGTGAGTATTAGGGACATATGAATCCACGATAGTATAGTCAATGTTATCTACAGTACAGGTAAGAATTAAATGGCGACCTTCAGGGTCTGATTATGATTTCTTAATGCTTTTGTTATTGGGAGGAGATTTTTTTCTTGTTTGCATGGTGTGCTTAGATAGATCAGTGAAGACTTGTATAGAGGAGAATTGAGCGGTAAGGTTTTGAGGTTACCACATATTTCCCATGATTTTTTATTTAATATGACAGAAATGAATTCTCATCAAGACATCTCATGGAACTTTTTCTGGGAGATAAGAGGGCCTTAAGAGACAGTGTATTCTGTCAATAATCAGATCTGTGTTTGTAGCGTCAGGTATGAGAATACAAAAAAGTTCTTGGGCATATGTTTTGAGCTGATCAGGCTGGATCGATTCTGGGATGCCTCTTATTTTAATATTGTTATGTCGTGATCTATCTTCTAGATCTGCGATTTTGTTTTTAACCAGTCTATTTCTTTTGTCTTTTTCATTATGTGCGTCTACTAGAGCAGCCATTCTCAACCAGGGTGCCAAGTCACCCTGGGGTGCCTTGAGGTTAATTCTGGGGTGCCTTAGCAAAATTTCTAAAAGTTGCACAAAGTTTGTATACAAGCTAGCGGGTGGAAGAAGCCTGCCTTTTAGTTGCACAAAGCCACAGGTTTTCATTGTGCACCATTATAAACTTCTAACCACTGGCGTCCTGACAACCAATGACATCATCCATTGATAAGGAGGATGTCGGATGCCTGCTCAGCATCCTTGTTTGACCCTCCTCTGCCCTTTTCTGTCAGTGCTGGGGTCACATTAGCTCATTGATGGAGAAAAACAGAGTAATACTGTAGTACTAGTTAGGACCAGTGTGAAAAAGTGTATTTGATTTGGGAGAATAAATCACCTCTAACGTTGGTTGTCCATGTGAAGATGTTGCTGCGTTATATAAAAACTATTAGAATAGTTTTTTACATTTTAGAATGGGGTGCCTCAAGACTGTCCATAATTTTAAAGAGTGCCTAGGGACTGTCCATAGTTTTAAAGGGTGCCTCAGGACTGTCCATAATTTTAAAGGGTGCCTCGGGAGTGTCCATAATTTGAAAGGGTGGCTCGGGACTGTCCATAGTTTTAAAGGGTGCCTCAGGACTGTCTATAATTTGAAAGGTTGCCTCGGGAGTGTCCATAATTTGAAAGGGTGGCTCGGGACTGTCCATAGTTTTAAAGGGTGCCTCAGGACTGTCTATAATTTGAAAGGTTGCCTCGGGTGTGTCCATAATTTGAAAGGGTGGCTCGGGACTGTCCATAGTTTTAAAGGGTGCCTCAGGACTGTCTATAATTTGAAAGGTTGCCTCGGGTGTGTCCATAATTTGAAAGGGTGGCTCGGGACTGTCCATAGTTTTAAAGGGTGCCTCAGGACTGTCTATAATTTGAAAGGTTGCCTCGGGTGTGTCCATAATTTGAAAGGGTGGCTCGGGACTGTCCATAATTTTAAAGGGTGCCTCGAGACCGTCCATAAAACTCACCAGCTATAGTTTCTGATCTTGGCATTGGGGCAAGCACTGCACTAACACCCCAAGTGTTTAGCATGCTCCATTATTTCCAATAGGGCCCAAACCAAAACCCCAAATGCAAAAGAAACATAAAAAAATCAAATCAAAACCCGTGACACAGATTACTCAATATACCTGTTTGAATGTCCCTGTGGCCTACAATATGTAGCCAGAACTACACCAAAAATCTAGAACCATAGTTGGACAACACGGCAAAACATCCACAAAGTTTTTTTGGACCCTATCGTATCCAAACATTATACTCTGTTACATGTCAAATGACTTGACACTCAATGTTAATCCTATGAAAAAACAGCTTCTGATAAATGTGATATGCTCAAAGAACTAAAGGCAACAGAGCCTTTCTGGATCTTTACCTTGAAAATACTTCATTCAGAAAGAATAAATGAGACTACAGATTCAACATATTAACTCCATATACCCAACTACTGAGGACACCAAATGTTAGTATCATCAAAGCTTATACTGCCTTGCTTAACACTTTCTGCATAGAATTTTGAGTATTTCACCATTTTCATTTACATTATGATTATCTCAACACATGTTTTATACTTGCCCCAAATCTTACTATATTCTGGCAGTCCATATTTTTAGCCTTTATTGTGGTCTCTCACATTTAATTCCCTTACAGTCTGTCTGTTTAAATGTGTGCATTTAGTATGGTAAAACAAACTGTGTTGCACTGCTTCAATGTATTAAAAAATGTTTCTATGCCTTTAAGATCAAATTATCTTACCGAAATAATGCTCATGAAAAACAAAAATATTTCATATGTGAATCAGATATTAAAATTGTGTAAACGAGAATTCAACAGATGTAACTAAAGTTCCACAGCTGAATGAATAATCACACAAAACAATGTCCTATAGATGTGTAATCATGTAGGTTTTCTGTGTTGTAATAGTGAATCCAGTGTGCCTTCACCAAAGAAGTAATAAGGCTGCTAACCGGACTTCCAGATCCTGGTACCATGGAGATCTAAGCAAGGTCAGCATTCCCCAGCCACCTACAGGTGGACAAAAGTGACCTTCTATGCACTCAGCATTTCCTCAGACAATGGTTTCTGCATCAACAGATGGATTTTGCAATGCTCTGGTCATATATGTTCCTTCTGGCCCTTCACTGGTGTCCCATAGATTCATCTTTCATGGGTGGTGAGTAAAGAATACCAAAATAATATATGCTCATACTGCAATATTTATTAATAAAATGTGCATTTATAAAAATTTTTATCCATACCACTAGGTATTGCACAGGATCAGGATGGACTAGCAAAATGGACATGTTATAGCATTCCATAATGTGGTTCTGATCCATCTCTGGGAGACTATAGTCTTCTTCTACCTTATCAGGGGATGGATCAGAACTGCATTGTATTATATTGTAAAGTACTGTGCAAACTACTGGCAATACATAAATCCTATATAATAATTTCAAGGGATAGGGTTAAATTTAGGGAAACTTTAAACAGGGACAGAAATCTACAAATTGGTTTTTGTGCATTAACATACACTATATTGCCAAACGTATTGGGACACCCCTCCAAATGATTGGATTCAGGTGTCACATGGCCACAGGTGTATCAAATCAAGCACCTAGGCATGCAGACTGTGTGGTACCGTGATAGGTTGCCACCTGTGCAATAAGTCCATCCGTGAAATTTTCTTGCTACTAAATATTCCACAGTCAACAGTTAGTGGTATTATAACAAAGTGGAAGCAACTGGGAACAACAGCAACTCAGCCACCAAGTGGTAGTCCACGTAAAATGACAGAGCGGGGGTCAGTGCATGCTGAAGCGCACAGTGCGCAGTGCGCAGAAGTCTCCAACTCTCTGCAAAGGCAATTGCTAAAGGCCTCCAAACTGCGTGTGGCCTTCAGATTAGCACAACAACAGTGCGTAGAGAGCTTCATGGAATGGGTTTCCATGGTCGAGCAGCTGCACCCAAGCCTTATATCACCAAGTGCAATGCAAAGTATTGGATGCAGTGGTGTAAAGCACGCTGCCACTGGACTCTAGAGCAGTGGAGACGTGTGACAAATCACGCTTCTCTGTCTGGCAATCCAAGGGACAAGTCTGGGTTTGGCGTTTGCCAGGAGAACAGTACTTGCCTGACTGCATTGTGCCAAGTGTAACGATTGGTGGGGGGGGGATTATGGTGTGGGGTTGTATTTCAGGGGTTGGGCTTGGCCGCTTAGTTCCAGTGAAGGGAACTCTTAAGTCATCAGCATACCAAGACATTTTGGACAATTTCATGCTCCCAACTGTGGGAACAGTTTGGGGATGTGTATATAAAACATAAAAAAACTGTACATGTCACGCTCCCAATATACTACAAATATCAATCAAATCAAAATAAACAAAAAAAAATATCAAAAATACCTAAATAATAACACCTTTATAATAATAATATAAAAAACATGAATCTCAAAATAATCCCCAGAAAGAAATGTGTCATAAAACAAAAACGTCCCTTTGATCATTCAAAAAAAAAATAAAATAATTTTTATATATATAAAAAAAAGTCCCCAAAAAAGTGATTGCGTGATCCAAAATGCAATAATTGTGACTTACAAGCCTAACAGATAGGCTTATTGTTCACATAAATGGAACCTGCTATGATTTGCTGCAGCATAACATAGATGTTGGGTGTCTCCTAAGTGCTCTGCAGCACTTGCCTCCTTGTCTGCTCGTTATCCCTGCAGGGATCTCTCACTCCTTCAGCTGCTATGGATCTCCTCCTTAATCCTCTCCTAGATATCGATGTCATAGAGCAAAAAAGAAGTATGGACATAGTGCTTTATCCTTTATAAGTAAACCTTTATTAATGTGCCCAAATAATGCACTTACATAGTATAAAAACAAACAGCACTTTGTAAAATCAATGTCTTTGTCTGTGTGTGCCTCACAGCATGTGTACTTGCCGTTATCCTCTGGCGTCGAGTGACCATTGTAGCCCCTCCCCTACGCGTTGCTCCATAGGACACGTGGCTTCATCAGGGGCTTGTAATTCAATTACTTGTAGTAATTGAATTCAATTATTTGTAGTAATTGAATTCAATTATTTGTAGTATATTTTGAGCGGGACTTGTAGAGTTTTTTTATGTTTTATATACACGGTATGAGAATGTGATGTTGTCAGTGATCCTTTTTCAACTCTTATTAGTGGCTCACAAGTAATTAACATATTTTATTGTGCAACAGTTTGGGAATGGTACCTTCCTGTTCCAACATGCCTGTGCACCAGTGCACAAAGCAAGGTCCATAAAGACACGGATGAGCACGTTTGGGGTGGAATAACTTGACAGACCTGCATAGAATCCTGCCCTCCACCCGATAGAACACCTTAGGAATTAATTAGAGCGGAGACTGCGAGCCAGGCCTCCTCCCCCGACATTAGTGCCTCACCTCACAAATGTGCTTCTAGAAGAATGGTCAAACATTCCCATAGACACACTCCTAAACCTTGTGGACAGCCTTCCCGGAAGATTTGAAGCGGTTATAGCTGCAAAGGGCACGTCAACTGAATATTGAACCCTACAGATGAAGACTGGGATGCCATTAAAGTTCATATGTGTGTAAAGGCAGACCGACAAATACTTCTGGCAATATAATGTATATGCATTGATCTGTGACGAGTCCAATTTCCAACTAGTGATCGCTGCAGCACCCACTACTGATGAACCCATATCCAGGAACGTGTGCGATGGGAATATTGGCATTATAGTGTGGATAATTCATTTCTTATCAGTCCCAGCTCCTCCCAGCAGGCACTGAAGTCCATATCTTCTCTCTCTCTGTGATCTCCGGGTGGTGGACGAGGCTTACTTGAGCCACAAACAAGAGCCAGCAGTAACACTGATGGTCTAGTTGCAAAAATATCCTTTTGTTTTGCAGACCTTTTCCTGGTGCAGAGTATAATTGGGGTCTGATTGGGGACCATAGTAGGTCCAAAGGGGAAGTCAAGATAGTTTTGTAAGTTAATAATTTATATTCATGTTTGTTCTGATTTGAAGCACAAATATATGACTTGGTCACATACAACTGTTGAAGCACTTAAAGAGTGGTCTGATCCTGTATGGTGCTGGCTGGAGAGGGATCCTGGGGGGTTTATTTACTGTTTGTGTTGGGCATTCATCTAGCTGTGAAATGAATGCAGAGGTCTGATGCCTGGTTTGACAAAAACATGTTATAATTTAATGGATTTAGCTATGATAGTTGTTTTCTTTTAATTCCAGGTCAGTGTTTGATCTGTGGGTCTCATACCATAAACAATGGCATCCAGTGTTCCTGGAGGTGAGATCTACCAAGCCAGACAGGTTGTTTAACATTTGTTGTAGCATTTATGTTATGTTATTTCACAATCTTTAAACGCCCTACTTAAAATCTGGCTTCCGTCCCCTACACTCCACCGAAACTGCCCTACTTAAAAACCCTTGGGGGACTCCAACAGAGAGGGGGAGAGAGGGGGAGGTGGCAGTGTTATAGGTGATGCTGAAGGAGCGTTGGGATAGGTAGGAGAACCAGGAGAGAGCAGCGTCCCTGATGCCAAGGGAGTGCAGTTTAGTAAGGAGGAGGGGGTGGTCGACTGTGTCGAAGGTCACGGAGAGGTCAAGGAGCAGGAGGACAGAGTAATGGCCATTAGCTTTGGTGGTTAGCAGATCGTTAGTGATTTTAAGTAGGGCGGTTTCTGTGGAGTGTAGGGGACGGAAGCCAGACTGCAGTGGATCAAGGAAGTTGTTATCAGTGAGGTGGGCGCTTAGGCGATTGTAGGCCAAACGTTCAAGGAGCTTGGAAGTAAATGGTAGCAGGGAGATGGGTCTAAGGTTGTTTAGGTCAATGGGGTCAAGGGAGGGTTTTTTGAGTATGGGGGTGATGTGTGCGTGCTTTAGGGGGGAGGGGAATGTGCCAGTGGAGAGGGAGAGATT